AGATGTGACCTGAAGACCCCCTTTGTGCTAAATGGCAAAGGGCACACTCAACTCACTGATGTCCAAATATTTAGCCAAACAGTGTTTTGTAAGGTATCCTATAGAACTGGTGACACGCTGGTCATGGATAGCATTGTGTGATGTATGTATGGGTTGTGTATAGAGAGTTATTTATGTGTGTTGTAATATAGTCTTAAAATATGTTGTGGAGGCAGCTGATAAACAACTTTCTCCTAGATAAAGGAGCAGGGGGGGAATGAGGAGACTCTGATATCTGGGTGTCCCCCCTCGCCTCTGTACCCCATCTCTGCAGGGTTCAGGAGTGGGATATGGGACAGAGCTTGTTGGCGGCTGCTGCTGTATCTGAACAAGCAGGCTTCAGACAGGTGAGTGCCGATGTCTCTCTCACACTCACATACACACTGTGTGACTCTCTCTCTCTCTCACACACACACACTCACACACACACACACACACACACACACACACACACACTATGTGACTCACATACACACACTCTGTGTGTGTCTCTCTCTCTCTCTTACACTCACCTCCCAACACATAGTTATATTGTTGTTGTTGTTGTTACTTCTTGATATTGCCTGCAATGCACATATATTCTCTGTAATTTTATTCTTTCCAAGTGTGTTATTTTAGTTTTTTGACTGGTCTATGCATTTCATAATTTGTTTTTCTCTCTTATGCTTAAATTTAATTCTTTGTGTAGTGAGTTCTAAAATGCCTAACCGGTCCTGGCTGGAGTAATTATCCCTATGGTAACTTTTAAAAAATATATATTATGTCTAGGTTTTTTGTTTCTACTGGTGGCGCACATACACACATTACCTTAATATTTGTGCACAGAACAAAATTCATTCTGCATGTGGATAGAAAAAGTTAGAAGGAACTTTGCACAGGACTATAAAAAGAAGTATGCAGTGTAGTTGTAGCCATGTCAGTCCCAGGATATTAGAGAGACAGGTGCTGGATCTATAAAAAGAAAGGGAGAGGACCCCTTAAGTGGCAAAAGAAGCCAGTGTTCTTGAAAGCTGTGGGAAGTAGGTCTGTCAGCCATGTGGGTTGAAGAGGCTGAGAACTGACTGTAGGAGAACGTCACACATCACTTCTATTAGAGTTTGCTTTCTGTGTGGAATAACATTTCTAGAGGTTTGAGAAACACAATCCCTAATTTAAAGGTACTGGTGGAGCCAGGTTGTGCCTGTTCCGCTCTCATGCTCACAGTCAACAAGTTGTTTCTTCTCATGCTGGTGTTCTTGCTCCCATTGTCCCAATCTCTGTTGCTTTGCTGTTCCTGGCCAATGGGAGCTGAGGGAAGTGGCGCGGGCTGCAGGGACGTGCTGGCTGCTGCTTCCCGCAGCTCCCATTGGCCGGGAACAGCCAGGGCCAGCTGTAGGCCGATTCCCATGAATTGGGCCCCGTGCCTAAGAGGGCCCTGTGCCCAGCCAGAGCGGCAAGCCTGCAGTCCTGCAACCCCAGCCCAAGCGCGGCAATCCCCGCTCCCCTGGCCAGAGCGCGGCAATCCCCATGGCCCCACAACCCCAGCCGGAGCCCAGCAACCCCGTGGCCCTGCTCCCCAGGCCAGAGCGCAGCAATTCCCACAGCCCCACTCCCCTGGCCGGAGCCCGGCAATCCCCGCGGCCCCGCTTCCCCGGCCGGAGCGCTACAAGTCCCGCGGCCCCGCTCCCCCGGTCAGGGCACTGCCCGGTGAGTACAAGCCCCACGAATCGAGCCCCGCATGTGCTAAAGCCGGCCCTGGGAACAGCGAACCGCAGCCACTAGGAGCTGCGGGGGACCACTATGCCTGCAGATGGCCAATGTAAACAAAATGTCTCGTGGGGAACAAGGACACAGACAAGGCTCTGCGGCGTCAGAGCTGGGAAGGGAACACTCTATCAGCATATAGAGATAAGCCCGATTGGTATGAAGGGCTACGGAATATGCTTGCTTGGAAACTGACCCCAATAAACATTGCATTGTCTGCGCTTTGGACTTCTGGTCTTTTGCTGCTTGCTGTCTGCATGACAAGAACCAGGGACGTGGGAGGGTGAAGGGAAGGCCTCTAACAGTTTGTTTTACAAAACGGTGTCTATGGCTTGTTTTGTTGCTGTCCATATGGGCATCTCCTTGAAATCCCCCCGACCCCCTTTAACAGGCAGGAGGAAATCAGAAAGCTTTGGAAGAGTCAAAAACATGACATTCTTTGTGAAGAAGTCCCTGAGCAGAAACAGCAGATGGAGGAGACCATCAAAATGCTCTACCAGATGGCAGATAAAATTGATGGTACCCATCAGAACTGTACCATTATGAGTCTAATGTCTAAGCGTATTAGTGCTATTGCTAGTATATTGGGCATCGTTGGAATAAATGAGGAATCTACCTGTAATTTATTCCTTACAACTCTACAAATCAGGATCAGATTACTCCACCTATCCCACTGGGGGATCTGGAGTGGCATCTATTCTGATTGGCATAAGAACGGCCATACGGGGTCAGACCAATGGTCCGTGTAGCCAGGTATTTTGTCTTCCGACAGTGACCAATGCCAGATGCTTCAGAAGGAGTGAAAAAAACAAGGCAAATCTCAAGTGTTCCATCCCCGGCCATCCAGTCCCAGCATCTGGTAGTCAGAGGCTTAGGGACATCCAGAGCATGGGGTTGCAGCCCCGACCATCTTGGCTAATAGCCATTGAGGGACCTAACCTCCATGAAACTAGCATGGAACTCTCCCGGGACATAAACAATCTCACTCTCAGATTTTAGGGCCCAACCAAGTTCCCATTGAAACCAGTGAGTGTTTTGCCATTGATTTCAGTGGGAACAGGCGCATTGCCTTGATTTTAACAAAGGGGGGGAAAAGTTGTCTGCTCTGTGTTGCAATATCCAGAGAGAGATTAAAGTCAAACATGGCCCACACTGATGGAAAACATGATTCCAAAAGCACTCTCTAGGGATATCCGAGGTGCTGCTGGGAAGAAAAATGGTGTGATCCCCCATTCTGAGCATCACAGCACATGTCTACAAGGCAAAAAAATGCTGCGGCAGCAAGTCTTGGAGCTGGGGTCTACAGAGTCAGGCTTGTGGGGCTTGGGCTAGAGTGCTAAGAATAGCTGTGTAGATGTTTGGGCCCAGGCTCTGACACCCAACCCTTTCTACAGGCTTCAGAGCCTGAGCCTGGAATGAGGGCACCTCACTACCGCCTGCTCTTAGTGTGAGGGAGCCCTATCTGGCCTTATCTCCAACTCCACTGGCCCCAGGCAACATAAGCACTCCCCTCTAGGTTTGTGCAAGCTCTGCTGTCTCTCTGCAGGCTAGTGATGGGCCCACATACACCAACCCCCGAGGCCTCTGAACATCTCCCAGCAGTGTCCAGCCCCTTTTCCACTGGACTTTCACAATGTTCATAGCTTTGCTGCTCCCAAACAAGCACTTGCCGCTTTCACCTTAGATCATTGATCTGTTGAACATGCAGCACTCAGACACATTTGTAGTGAAAACAAGTAAATGTTTATTTAACAAAGCACAGTGATTTGAGAAGTAGCAAGTCAAAGTATTGGAAGCAAATGGTTTACATATAAAATAAAATCGTAACATGCTTTCTAGACCCTAGACTTATTTTATTAGATATTTTTCTGTCTTCTGGAGCAAAGTTCCCCCAAAACCCTTTCAGTGTCTTACAGCCAGGCTTGATTGTGATCTTCCATGAGACAAGCCATGCTGTCAGCTTGTCTCCTCAGTGGAAAGATGCACAGGGTGCTTCTCTGCCCCCTCAGTTATACCCCCCAGTCCACTGTCCTTACTTGTAAACCGGATGCTGCTCAGCACCTGCGGGTGGTTTTTCCTGTGTGCTCCTTTCTTGTCGATTTCACTATCTCTTGATTAACGTTTGGCTCAGCCTGAGGCTAGGGCTCCACTGTGACACAGACACTACACAATTCATACCTGACCAGGTGGAGAGAGAGACGCGTTGCTTCCCTCCTCCTGACAGTGTTCAGTAGCTGGTTCTCCCTTAAATTCTATGTAAAAATCACCCAATAAGAAAGAGAGGGACTCAGATCTAGTTAAACCCATTTGAAGCAACCTCTCGAGGGCTCAGCAAAAACTGGTTACTAACCAACCAAATGAGGAGAAATGGTGAAGGTGGCGTGACCAGATAGCAAGTGTGAAAAATTTGGATGGGGAGGGGGGACGGCAGTAGGAGCCTATATAAGAAAAAGTCGTGACTATTGGGATTGTCCCTATAAAATGGAAGAACAGGAGGACTTGTGGCACCTT